TGCATATTCATAATGAATTCAATATGACTTAAACTTTAACACATGTGTGAGCCTTGGCAGGAGTGAGGCCAGGGGGCGGGAGGAAGCTCTCTGCTTTTTGTGTTTGACTGTCAGTACTGTTCTGCGCTCCTCTCCCTCATACCATTTGATAAACTGTGAGTTCCCTCCTCCAAACCACACCGTGGTTGTTGCTGTTATATTCCTTTATGTCTGGGGAAGACCTATACCAGGGATTCTCAAACTTCATTGCACCGCAACCCCCCTTCTGACAGCAAAAATTACTGCACGATCCCTAGAGGGGGGACCAAAGCCTGAGCCCACCCGAGCCCCATAGCCCAGTGTGTGTGTGGCGGAGGGCAAAGCCCCACTGCCCTGTATGGGGAGGAGGGGGGCAAAACTGAAGCCCAAGAGCTTTAGCCCCAGGCAGAGTGCCTGTAACGTGAGCCCCACCAACGTGGGGCTCAGGCTTCAGCTTTGGCCCCGGGCCCCAGTAAGTCTGAGCCAGCCCTGGGGACCCCATTAAAATGGGGTCATGACCCACTTTGGGGTCCCAACCCACAGTTTGAGAACCAGTGTCCTATACCTTGACCTCTCATTAGCTACTTAATAGACGTGTGGGTGGAGAAATATCCATTGCCCATGGAAGAAGACCTCATTTGGTCTCTCCTGGACAATGCTTTGGTTCTGGAGGTATTACCTCTTTGTGCTTGGAGGGTTCTTATGTTCCCTGAGATGTCTGCCCATTCCTTCTATGGCCCTGATACGCAAGTCATTTGTTCTTGTTTGTTGTTGTTCTGTACCAAATAATAAATCCACAGTAATAGAACTGTGTTTTAACAGATTTGATAGATTGCTGCAAAAATGCCTCCAAGTGGCACATGACAAAAGAGAAGGAAGAGTTTTTAAAAAGGAATGACCCTTGTGAGGAACTTCATAATAATAATTGGCAACTCAGAGGCCATAAAATATGAGAGATTGGGACATACATAAAATGAATCCAGGATTTAAAATAACAAACAAAGAGATCCTCTTCCACATTGCGGTTAAATTTGTGGCTCCAGGAAGAGAGGGGATGATTTTTCATACAGACCTACTACTACACCTCAGTCATTCTCTGCAACACTTCTGCTTCTCTTCTGAATGTTGGTTTCTCCTGAGAGCAAGCTGCCAGTCAAAGAAAATTGCTGGCTGGCTTTGTGATGTGAACAAAAATATTCACTAGGGGCTAGGTAGAAAGTACAAAACTTACTGTGGTTTCTACATGCGACCCATCAGCATAATTTGAAAGGCTAGTGTGTGAAACTACTAGACTGTCTAGCCCTGCAACATCCCCGCATTAAGGCCTAGTAAAGGAATATTACCTTCACTCCACCAGAGTGTTATAAATATACTAGACAACTAGGTAGCATAGTGAGACATTTCAAATATTTCTCCTGGAGCAAATGTAACAGTTACATTCCAGCCAACACAACAATAAGCGCTGATATTTTTTTTTAAATGTGGAACTTATTCATGAAAAAATGTTCTCTTTAAGGTCCTGTGTATTTATAGAACACAGTGCAAGCATGTATTTTGCTTTTCTATATCCTCTTTTATTCCAGCACCCCGAAAGCATTATGTGAACATTAATGATTTAAGCCTAGTGTGGTAGATATTACTCTCCCCATTTCACAGATATGGAAACTGAGACATAAGATCAGTTAAGTGACTTGCTGAAGATCACATAGGAGCCCTGTGGCAGAAATAGAAATAGAACCCAGATCTTCTGATTTCCAGGCCTGTGATTATATACAAGACCTTCCTTCCTCGCTATAGAATGTAAATATTATATTTCAGGGATGGGCAACATTAAAATAGTAGAGGAACCCCAAAACCACTAAACCCTTTGGCAGGCCAGGGAGTGTGATGCATGTGGGAGGTCAGAGGGGTCAAGTCCTGTTCCCAGAGGGTGTGACTGGAGGTGGAAGGAGTTGGGTCCTGGCCCTGGGAGAGGTGCTGCAGGGGGAGAATCGGGTACTGTACCTGGGAGGGGTGATGCAGGGGTGGATTGAATGGGGAGAGTCGGGTCTGTAGGGTGATGTAACTCGTACACAGGTGGGGGCGGGGGTTGGAGAACCTGTCCTCCACTTACCCTGTAGTGATGGCTCAAGTACGGGGCTGGGTCTAGCTCCCTGCTCTAGCCCACTGGTTCTCATCCCAGTATCTTGTGATGCCCATGTTCAGGCTGGTGATGCCCTGCCCCTTTCCTGGCCCTTGTGCTGCTGAATTTCCTGCTCTGAGCCAGGTTATGTCAGGCCAAATAAAATGATCTAGCAGTCTACCTGCAGCCCCTGAGCTGCCTGTTGCCCATCCCTGTTATATGTCTGTTGTTTGACCTCGTGATTATGAGCATTGGAAGGCTCAGGGTTCTAACAGGGGTTGTCTCTCACTGCGTAAGTCAGACAGCCCTTGCAGTGCTTAAGCCACAGAACCAGCTATGCAGCTAGATAAAGGCAGGACCCCCCTGAACACCAGCTGCTGCTGAGCTGAAACAGATAGATAAACTGCAGCTTATCATTTATTAATCAGAAAGACCTAGGATTAGGTGCTGCTGAAAGATGATCAATATCTCCAGTGGGAATTCTTCATAATAGCAAAGCATTGTGTGATGTCTTTATACTTCTGCTAGGTCCAATGGAAGAAATATAAGGAATTATGAAGCCTCAACTATAGATGAAATGTCTGTGATTGAGGGATCCTGGTGACAGCATAAATGCATTGCACACAGGTCCATGTGGTTTGAACACCATAATGGGATTGCAGCCGTAATGTAAATCCCTGGGGTACTTTATTTGATCAAATGCATAGTTAAAAAAAATCAAATAATCATCCCAAGTCTTGTGTCTTTCTTCCACTGTGTCTGACTCTATGCTGGGGTGTTTTGTCATTACTTCCCATCTCTTGTTCACTTACAATTCTGGTCTTCTCCTTCCTCCCAGCTTGACCTTTTGCATAGCATTATTATTATTTTATATTAAATACTGCATCATGAATGTGCACCGTACTTCACAGGCAATTTGAATACAAGGTCCCTGCTCCCATGGAGCTAAGTGTCTAAAATAATTTTTAGCCATTTACGTCGAAAAGGAACAGAGTAAGATTTATATTATGTATCTTTTCTATCTCTTTCTTATTGTGCCATCACACACTGAGCAGGAATAAGAATGTAAACACTAAACACTCATTTGTTCTAAGCCTATTAGAGTCTTCCATGTATTATAAAGCTATTAGTGTTCTTGCCATATGTTATATGAAGGAAGCTTGTTTGTGCCTGTAATGTAGGCAGAGAAGGACAAATATAAAGACACTGTGGACCTGATTCTTTGCTGTCTTCCACCTTGTGTAATCCTGGCTGCTGCATTCAGTTTGCACAGGTGAGGTGTAAAACGCTACCCCTGGTGAAAGTGAATGGAGAATTTTGATTTGGTAGCATCTGACATCCACTTTGCACAGGTGTAAACGTTGACACAAGGTTTCAAGCAATGGAGAATCAGGCCCCGTGTCTTTTCACAGAGAAAAGGTACCATGATGAATTGTTTGTGTACGTCCTGTGGCTGTAGCTCGTCACAGATAGTATGCAAGAAAACCCAACCCGTCCACTGACAGGGAGAACAGTTCCTTAAAGGATAGTCTATCTAGTCCAAACTAAATTCAAGTCAGAATGTTGTGATAGGTTTGAAATAGAAACACAGCAAAATTCCACCCAAAGCCTGCAAGATTATCCTAACAAAACCCCACAGATCCATAAGATCCTCTGGACTCCTGGGCAATCCACTGAATTTCTATGAAATTCATATCAAATGGAGAAAGACTTGTTACATTATCTTATCCCTTACTTTACCCACTGCAGAATTGTTTCTCGCAATGGATTCTCAAGTGCTTTCTACAGCCTCGTCTGAAACGACTCAGGTAACTGAACTTCCGCCACTCCCACAGTCTGTGCACCAGCAATAAATCCCACAAATCCCTAGGGTCCCGCAGATTTTCACCAAAACAAAATGTTACAAATCCCCCAGTGCTCAGGTACACTGGAGATGAGCATGATGTAAAACCCAGGATAGGAAGGATTCCACTTATCTGATTGCAAACGGAAAGTTTGAAACTAATTTTGAAATGGTGATTTTTTTTGTGTTCAACATTATGTGGCTTAAACGCAAATGTAACCTTCTAACGTTTCACCTATGGCTACTAAGCATGAGCTTGGATTTGTGTAGTACAGAAAATGTGTAATATTTAAGTGAGCTATAGCATTGAGTGTAGCATTTAAAAACAATTACTTCCAGGTCTTATTTCTTCTGTTGAATCAATGAAAGTACAATAAAACTTGTGTGCTATGCCTGCTAGTTTCATCAGCATAATGATCCTTGAATTTGGTTCCACTAAAGATTCTTCGGAACTAGATTGTCACCATTTTTCAGACATGATGCAAGACACAGCTTTTCGATCAATGTTGGTATCCTCTTGGTAATTGGGGCCAGATTCACACAGGTATTTAAGTGCCTACAGATGCAGATAGGCACCTAGTGGGATTCACAAAAGTGACTTCTTGTGGTTTTCAATGGGAGAAAGGTGCCCAAACCCCTTGGGCATCTAAGGGGATTCATAAAAGTGTCTATCAGCATCTTAAAGTGCCTAAATACCTTTGTGAATTTGGCTCTTGGTCACTGGATTGTAATCCACTAGTTTCTGTTTATTTTAAGGGGTAGTTTATTGGCCAATGTGTGTGTTTTGGGGAAACATTACTTGCTTTTACTATGATACTGTAGTAACAAGCACCTAAGAAACGTAGGTAAGAATCAGAACTGGTTGGACAATTTTTGTGAAAATGACTTTTCAATGAAAAATGGAACCAAAATTTCATAAACTTTAATTGTGCAGTGTTTTCCCCATTTTCCAACCAGTGCTAATAACAACGTGTTGGTTCCCTATGTAATTACCTCTTTATTTATTATTTTCAAAAGGGGAAAGCTATGTCTGTTCATCTGACAACTTCTTCAAGAAGGTGGAGTATACCAAGAATGTCAATCCCAACTGGTCTGTCAATGTGAAGACATCGGCCAACCTGAAAGCACCTCAGTCTCTGGCCAGCAGCAACAGTGCCCAGGCAAGGGAGAACAAGGATTTTGTGCGTCCCAAGCTGGTGACCATCATCCGCAGTGGGGTGAAGCCCCGAAAGGCAGTTCGTGTGCTCCTGAACAAGAAGACTGCACATTCATTTGAGCAAGTTCTCACTGATATCACTGAAGCTATAAAACTGGAGACAGGCGTGGTCAAAAAGCTGTATACCCTGGACGGGAAACAGGTATGGGAGTTGCAAATTTCTTTTTCTTTTCCCTTTCCCCTCCTCCATTTCGCTCATATATTATAGCAATGCTGACTAAGTGAACAATTACTGAAACCTAAAATTAACCTGAGACAGTCATCACCATCTGTTCTTCTGGAAGTCAGACTTCTCATGCCAGTGGTTATGTTACTAAATTGTCACTGGTATTAATATCAGGCAAAGAATGCAGCCAACCGTCTGAATGAAACAGATGTACTACCCCACTGTCTGAGCACCAGAGAGCTGTGTATATTTTCCAAAAGTTTTCCAAAACATATAAATAATATGAGCAGTTTGTACTGTAGGTTTGTTTATTTGTTAGGTAACCATAGCAGCAGCTCTCAAGGACTCCCTAGAAGTGTTAGAGAAAATGTATTGTTTTACTATTTTGTTCTCAGATGAGCACTAGTCAGCATAAATTAATTGGTGAGTAACACACTCATCTGGCTAACTCTATACTAGTAGGAAAATGTATGGGACATGTGATACCTCCATGGGTAAAAGTATAAATAGTTAATATACAGTAGGGGCTCTGGGTCAGAATTTTGTGGGTCATTGTAATCAGAACAGTTTGACTTAGCTCTCCATGTTCTTATTATACTGGCACATTTTTTAAAGTACCCCTCACTTGCTGTGTTGTGGCTAACAGACCATTTAATAAGGTCTTTCTACTGCTGCTGCTATGGAATCCCCTAAAGGAATGTGTGCCTTATAGCTTGGGGTGCTGGGACAGATAGATACTTCATCTCGGAAAGCTCTTTGGTTAAAGTCACAGATGCCAGTGGCTCTTGGAGTTGGGGTGACCTTTTTATTTTTTCCTCTGTCTCTATTTTCTCACTTTTCTGAATGGGGCAGTAGCTCCGACTATACAGCCTACACTGGTACTGTATTGGGCATGGTTTTTATTGTGCGGATTGGTATTGGAGATTTAATATGACTAATTTCATTACCCATCTTCTGCAGAAGATGTTGGTTTACATACTGGCTCTTGAAACATAAGCAAGAAGGTAGATAATCTACTTGACCAATGTATACATTTTAATGAATGAAAAGGTCAATTTTTCAGGTAAAGAATGATATGTTTGTCCATAATGTATGTTAGCCCATATCTGTTCCTTGGGTTTAGAATGTAGAGTATCATACTGAATATCAGCCCAGATTAACTGTTTTGTCTCAATTTCGGTGTTCTCACCTGTGTAATTCATTATTTATTATTGCTTCAAAATGAGAATTTTTCGTTGGTCGGTCAAAACTTTTCTTTAGATTTGGGTCAGCCAAGCATTCACCACTCATGAGACATGACGGTTTATACTTTGGTAATGTGCCCTTCGATCACCATGCCCGTAGACCCTACAATGTATTGTCAAATAAACAGGGACAGCTAGTGGTGTAGGTGAGAGGATAGAAGCGAGGGAAGGGGAGAGATGGGAGGAGTGGAGGAAGGAGAAGAAGTGCTATCTGACCCATTAACCACAATCCAGAAAGGTACACTTTTTTGTGTGTGTGTAAAACACATCACTGTTGTGCATCTCTTCCTCATAGTCACTTGATAAGTGAAGGGGGTTGAAATCTATGGGACCTGCAAACTCTTACTCATGGAGTATTCCTTACTCGCACAAGTAGTATACATTGACTTCAATACAGTCAGGTCTCTGGGTCAGAGTTTTAGGTTGAACACTGTAACTTACCTCAGTTGTCATAAGTAATGTGCTCACTCCCACCAGAAGCTTTGAAAGTGCTTCTGGCTGTTGTATTAGCCAAGTCCTGCTGCTCAGTGGGGCCCCCTACAGGAAATTTATGCTGTATAGTCCGCAGCGCTGAAGCCCCTGCTGTACATTGGCTATTAATGTGAGTAAGGGTTTGTAGGATTAGGCCCGATGTAATTTATCTTTCCCTAGCACATGCTAATGTCCTTGGCTATCAAAATATACACATGCTCTTGAATTCAGTACTAAAAAGTGGCCTTAAATTCTTAGTGCCAGAATCTGATAACTTTTCTCACAGTGAATGGTACCTTTATCCACCATTGACTTCAGTTGGACTACTGGTGGAGTAAAGTTCTACTCAGTGTGACTAAAAGTATCACAATCTGGCCCTGGGAATATTTACTCAGTCCTTGCTCTGGAAAGCTCTCAGTGACTTCTGGGAGAGTTTGACTGACTGACTAAGGACTTAAGGATTTCTCTATATGTACTCTCCACCATTCCCCTGGAACACGTATTTTACTAGCTACCTGAGAAAAGATGAATCTCTCTCATACATACCAGTTCCACTGTATATGAAGGGACATGTGGTGATGTAGTTTTTTAAGAAATAAAAAGAAAAACTGAGATCATTTGCAATCTGACAATGATAATGTAATATCGAATAGCTGGTTGTTGCGTCATTTGTTAATAGAGCTCTACACCAAGGACAAATGTGGCCCAGTATGTTTTGGTTTCATTTAAAGATTTCTTCAGTGTTTGTGTTTTAGTCTGTTAAACTGTATTTGAAGTTTCCCACCTAAATTTTTTCCCAGTGTTGCTAAAAAGAACCAAAATTTTCTGCTGTGGGTGCAGTTGTTGGCTGGTATGATCCCCTGTCTCATAGTCCACCATCAATTCTGACCTTCCCTCAAGCTATCAGAAAGAAGTCTTTGAAGGCATAATTCTGACAAACCGTGGTTTATTTTCTGCAAAAAGAAATTCATGCAAAAACCCAAGCTGCTCAAAGCTGAAATGTTGACAAGACTCTTGACAGTCTCACTATTTAAATGCCATTACAGTAGTGTTACTTCCACTGTCATGAAATGATATAATTTACAAAGGCAATGTACAAAGGGAAATCATCCTTATTGAGTCCATGTTCTTCACTTAATGAGGTGAAATGATTATTTATTTTATGTATAGGCATTTCTATGACACTCGTCATCAGAGTGCTTTAGAAATGTAGGCATTAGTGGTGAAGGTACAGTGGCATGCAAATAATTCCATTTCTACGCACTGCAAACCTACTACAGATGGGATGATAAACTGTAAATTTGGAGCAGGATGCTGTGTGTATGAATAAATATAATATCCATAGAGTTTAAGCCCAGAAGGGTTTAAGCCGACTAGGTCATCTAGTCTAACCTCCTGTATATAACAGGCCACCATCCAGCATCCACACACTAAATCCAACAGGGGAAATGAGACCTACAGGAGACTACTATGTGCCACAGGCAGAGAGTAGGGGGGGCGGAGGACCACCAATGCTTGAGAATATCAGTGGCACTAATTTTGTTTTTGTTAAAAAAATAAAATAGAGTTGTGTTGTTGCTCCTCGTATCTTGCATTTTCTATGGAGGAATATTTCAGTTTTTCTTGAAGCTGTTAAATAAACACCTTGTGTTTGTTAAGAAGCTTATTTCTTTTTTACTCAGTCTTGCACATATTTCTAATGCTCCATTCTAATGCTCCATTTAACTGTATTCATGCAGTGTCTCTGCTGGGAGCACATTACCACCTCTTGACAGTAACCCTGTAACTCCAAAAGAAAGGAACTTCAAAGAACCTACTGTACATGAGCCAACGCAGTGAGAATCAAAGCAATAGGAGTTTACCTCCTACACTCTCACAGCCATATAAAAAATGGTAAAGGACAAAGAAGATAGTGTGTTAGACCACTCTTAAAGGTAATGGGCCAAATTCAGCTCTGTTACGTGGGTGAAACAACTCCTGTTGAGTCTGTAACTGAGAGCAGAACTTGGTCTAATCCAAGGAGTATATTGCAAATTGGTTGCCCTAGCAAATTCTTATTCTTATTCTTTTCAGTACAGTAGCATCCATAGTCCTTTATCAGGACTGGGTCCCAACAAAGGCCAGGCACTATTTTTATACACTGGAAGAGACAGTTCCTGCCATGAGCAGGTCATAATCTAATTTAGAAGAAAACAAAATAGGAACTGTAGATGGGCTTGTAATTTTAAACACCCCCGATTATCAGAATATTATCAGAATGCAGTACAACATGAACCCAATTTTGCAACCCTCACCCACACTGATTGTCCCATTTGCCTGCGTCTTTTTCCTCTCACTGCCACGCCTAACTTCTTACATACCTAAGCTTTTTGTTGTTGCTGGAGCAGAGGTTATTCTCTTCTCCAGTTGTTGGTCTAATAATGATAGCCCATGGCCTCCAGCCTCTACTTCCCACGAGACTAGATATGGGCTACAGATTATGTGTGTAGACCAACATATATTTTCTGAATCCTATATTCTCTTCATACATAAAAATGAACACCTTCTGTACATGCTAAGCCTCTCTATGGCATGTTCACTTCTGTACTCTAGTCCAGTTTTCTGTAGCTATGCTCTAGAAGATCCAGATCCACAAAGGGACTGAGGTGTTGCAATGCCTAACTTTTAGGTGCCTAGAAAATCATTAGAACCACAGTGCAATCCACAAAGCCAGAGTTAGGCTGAACAGGAGATACTGAGGGAGTCCCATGTCAGAATATCTCACATTTCCGTGGTTAAGAACTCTCTCCTGAGAGGTGGGAGATTCCTCTTCAGATCCTTTCTCTCTTTCAGGTAGAGGGAGGAATTGAACGTGGGTCTCCTACATCCCAGGTGAGTACTCTAACCATTGATCTAAAAGTTATAAAGGGGTATTGCCCACAGATTTTGAATGAGACCTGATCTGGTAGGTGGCCTCTGGCCATGCCTACTGTATCAGGGCCCAAGAGTGAGACAGGTGGAGGAATGCCTATCTTCCCCCAGTCTGTGGACTGTTCTGGTGGGAGATAGGTGTCCAGACCCTTTGTGTGCATGTCCAGAGGCAGAAACATAGACTCCTAGGGAACTTTTACCCTGAACACTTAGGCACTGAGTGAGTTTAGATGCCTATAAGGTCAGGTGTAGCTGAGTGACAAGGTTTCAGTGCCTAAGTACCTTTGTGGATCTGGGCCTAATTGTCTATCACTATTAACTGTTTACTCTCTGTTAACAGAACAGCAAAGA